CTCGTTCAATAAAAGAATTATTGAACTAGCATCAGCATCGTACCCATAGTGTAGACAAAAACGGTTCTGTAGAGGCTTTAGAGGCGAGGGATGACTGTTCTGTAGAGTCTGTAGAGGCGAGGGATGGCTAAGGCGACCACACCCCTTCATTCAGCTCACAGTGGCAAACGAGACCGCGGCCGCGGCACACCGACCGGTCAAACGGCCCAGCGACCCATGAAACGAGTTTCTCTGAGGGAGAAAGAGCCACCATCACGACCTTGTTCGATTAGCGTAGCCTCGAGAACAGAGAACTCACTCGAGAAGCCAGCGACTGCCCACGTGCGCATGGGTAGTAGGCTACGCAGTCGTATTTCTCTCGCTGGAGGTCGACGACTGCTACAAAGTCACAATAAACACATAATGTGCGTCCTATCGTTCTATACATACTAAGTACAACCGTACTTAGTGATACATGACTTATGGGAACTCGGGTTGTGGTCTCGAGACTCATACAGCACGAGGCACAGACCACACCCCTCGTTCCCATAAATCACGTTTAGAACTCTAAACGCACATTATCTCTTACATACGCCATCCCGATGGCCACGCTATTCGATCTCCGTAATGCGGACCTGGACTCGCTGCTCAAGACGCAGCTCATCCAGCTATGCAAGGACAACTGTCTCCCAACCGGCGGCCTGAAATCGCCTCTGGTCGCCCGACTGTTGACCCTTTGCTCCCAGCTACCTCCCCTCCCCGCGTCCTCCGCAGCCACCGCCAACGCTGGTTCGCAGCAGGCCTTCGGATTCCCGCAGACCGCCTCCGCCGGCCTGCCCGCGACACCCGCCGCCGCCTCACTCTCCGCTGGTGTCCCACGCCTGCCAGCGCCGTCCACTCACGCTGGCCTGCAGCCCGTCTAACCTGCACATTATGGCTCAGCAGGCCGCGCAGCAAGCCGCGGCTCGGGTGCTAGCGCATCCACCCGTGCCTCCTACTCATCCGCCCAACGCGGTTTCATCAACTTTGCCTTAACGTACAACCGCCTGAACACGACAGGCTCCCCAATCCCTGCCTCCGAGATCACCCTTATGCTCTTTGCCACACATCTCACACACACCCACAAACCTCAATCTATCAAACTCTACCTCTCCGCCGTCCGCACACTACACCTTGAGCACGGTCTGCCGGACCCAACATCGGAGGCAGTCAACCTCCGACGCCTGATGCATGGCATCACACGGGTGCATGGCAACACCACCGACTCCCGGCTCCCCATCACCCCTTCCCTCTTGCGCTCGTTTCGCTCCTTCCTTAATCTCTCCTACCCTGACCACCTAACTCTTTGGGCCGCCATACTACTTGCCTTCTTCGCCTTCCTCCGCAGCGGCGAGCTCCTCTCACTCCACCGCAGTGACCTGCACAGGACAGCGGACGGGTTCCAGGTGCACATCAAACAGTCCAGGACGGACCCGTTCCGCTCTGGAGCTGTTCTCCCATCTGGCGACCCGTACCTCTGTGCCCTGGATTCCTACCTAGCGACCCAGGGCCCCACAGAACATACTCTGTTCCGCCTCCAGACAGCTGCTCTCACACGCCAGAGACTCAACCAACTAATCAGAGATCTGGCCTCGCGTTGTGGAGCCGAGTCACAGCGGTACTCCTCCCACTCCTTCCGCATCGGAGCTGCCTCAGCAGCAGCCGCAGCTGGCTTCCAAGATTGGAGGATCCAAGCCCTGGGCCGCTGGAGCAGCGACTGCTACCGGCGCTACATCCGCCTGCCGAGCAGCGAGACCAACGGCGTTGCAGCAGCACTAGCAGGAGCTCCACTATAATTCACAACCAAGTAAGCTCACTAAAGCTGGACCCTAAATGTTTGGGGCAGCACCTATCTAACAACCTATACCCCTCCCTATGGCTTTTCAGGGAAAGCCTATCCTCGTCTCCAGAGTGGCACTCAGACTGTTACCAGGAACGAGACGCACTCCCTTCTCGTCTACAGAGTGGCACCCAGACTGTCACCTGGAACGAGACACACTCCCTCCTCGTCTCCATAGTGGCACCCAGACTGTCACCTGGAACGAGACGCACTCCCTCCTCGTCTCTAGAGTGGCACCCAGACTGTCACCTGGAATGAGACGCCGTGCCCAGCTCTGCCAACACTCGGCGCCTTAGGCATTCCCCTCGCTCCCAGCTCTGCCACTCAGCCTGCCACCTGGAGCCGAGACGCACTAACACCGTGCCCAGCGCCGCCATCCTCGAGCTGCCCCTTACCGGTCGGGTTCGGCCAAACAAGTTGAATAGGTTTGCCTCACATGGACTGCTATCATGCGAATGATTGTTAGGACGACATATCTGTGCAATGTAGAATGGAAATATTGCTCAATGCACAGTGTGTGGTGCTCTCACCGGTAACCTCTGACCCGGAAGCCGACGACGAGACAGCTCCGACCAAGGCTCTAACGACATCAAGACGAGCCTCCCGCGGAAAATACAAGCTTGAAGCAATGGTCTCTTACGCCAGTCAGTTCATCTCTTTGTCTACAATGGAGTATCAGCCCTGACACCCTACACAACCTGCTGATTCTAAATATTCAGACAAGGTTCCCGTGGAAGAGTTTTCACCTGAAGCTGCTATCGACCTCTGGTGGGACGCTAAAACTAGAAAACCTAGTCATGGTCCACGGAAGCAGTATAAGAAGCGTGCTCCACGCGCTCAGGCGTCGGAGAATCCACTTCCTGGAACAGACAGAAATGAGGAGGAGGAGGAAGTGGAGGAGAGGCTTCTTCTAGATGACTGGGATGATTGGACGCAGGATCACTGAGACTGACTCCACAACTCAACTATTGTGTGCAATGTAGAATTAATATTACCATAATGTCTGATCAACAGCGGAGAATGGCAGAACAAAATTGATTGTGCTGAGACAAATCGTCCGCAGATTTTTTGTGTTTAATTCATGCACTGCTGATGTACCTACTGCGCTCCCTGTCCTTCTTTGTGACGCACTATCTAGATGGTGTGCCTATCACGCCGTCACTGCTATGCGAGCTGAAGAAGGCGTGGTCGCAGGCCGGGATTGATCGAGACACAAAAATTCTGTGGGCCGCCTGTTGCTAATACTTCTTTGGCTTCTTCCGTGCCGGGGAAATGACCATGCCGTGCAATGCTGTATTCGACCCATCGGTATACACAGCTCTGTCTGTCTGACATAGCGGTGGACGACAATCAGCGGCTGTCCCTGCTATAGGTAACGATAACAAAACAGACCCGTTTTGGAAGGGGGTTGCAATCTATGTCGGACACACCGGTACGCAGCTTTGTCCACTTTATGCTCTGTTGGACTGTCTCTGTACCAAAGGTGCTTCTCCGGGTCTGCTGTTCAGCCAATTCGTCGAGAGGGTGAGAGGCTGCCCGACAAAGGCGGGAGTGGACCAGTCCAAATATTGCGGCCATAGTTTCCAAATAGGTGGCAGCGAAGAAGGAAGTCGAGGATTGCAATATCAAAATATCTTGACGCTGGGAAAGCCTAGCGTACTTACAGTACGTTCAACTACGAATGAACAGCTAGGCACCTATTCTAATGCTGGCTGCCTAGTTAGGACAGTCCCAAAGAGAGTTTTGTCCTAGTTTTCTGTCGTTTGCGGCATGTATGTGATAGCTACTTGTCTTTGGTTGGGGTTGGCTGCCTCGCTATTGGGGGGAATAGACGTTGGCTACCTTGGAGGGGGCTCTCCAACACTCCTCCCCCCTGGTGTGGTGGGGGGCTCCCGTGCCCACGCGACCACCATATAATACCTACTCGATAAGGGCAGTCTATTGCCCACGTCCTCGCCCTTCTCCGCTGTGGCAGGAAGGGCAGCTGAAAAGGAAAATTAAGAGGCTCAGATAGAGGAGAAGTGAAGAATTTAGACAGAAAAGGGAAGAGAAATGAATGAAGGAAGCAAGAGAAGGCAGAAAAGATGACCAGAAGGAGAGTAAAAAGACACATCCAGCAAAGAAAATGAGCGAAGAAACAACATGTAAAGGTTTGATGATGGAAATTTCTACAGAGTATGCCACACTAGAACTCAAGTGCATCAGCAGAATCGGATGATGCAATTCGTCAAAGGTGTGGGGTGAGTTATGCTGATAAGGGGGGTTTGTGGGTGTGTTGCGATCGATGTGACTGATAGTTTAACATCGAATGCACCAATATCAGAAAGAAAAATACGGTCGAAGAGCACTGCCAGGCCCATCTCGCTCATGTACTCCTCCTTTCGCAGTGGAAAGCAGTTCAAATCCTCCAGCATGATTTCCTTATCATCTTCGCAATTTCGGTCGTAAAGCATGGGCTTTCTCCGAAGAGCGCCACCAGACGGTCGATAATAATCTGCGGCGTGGCGAGAGTTGTGATGCGGTTGACTGTCTTCTCGCCGAAAAAGTCGCCGAGGTTTAAATCGCCGACACCAATGAAATCAAACACCAAATCCAGCACTCGCTCACCGTAAACAACCTGCTTTGGGTGCGGTGCTTTCCCGTGGTGAGCCTCGTAACCTCTATGGCGGCCTTGCGGAACTTCTTGCAGTTGTACGTCTGCAGCACTCTCTCGTTGCCCAGTCTGACGAGATTCATTAGAACAATGGTGGAGCTCGCGTGGCCCATTGCGGCACCCTCCTCGCAAAGACTCGCCCATACACTCAACTAAAGAAGTGTGTATTCCCAGATGAAAACTGGGTACCAAAATATAACCACACCCAATTGGAAACTGGGCACCAAAGTAGAAGAGTGTGTACCCAAATGTTTACAATGCGACCCTCTTATTTAACGATTTTGACACTAACCCCCCTAAGAGACTGAATAAAGACAACTGTTAACTGTGATGGTAAGCCGTACGGGCTACTTCTCTGCGTTGCAAAAACACGCGTTGCACACAGCGTTGACATGTCGCTGTTGGCGCATATTGTTAAGTTTGCTGCATACATGCTACAAATAGGAAAAACACTAGACACAACTGCAAACATTGTAAGAACTGACTGACCTCTTTTCATCTCAACTTTCCGTCCAAAGAAATCCAGTGCAGGCTGAGGAAAGACAGAATATATGGTATAATAGTTGTCACCAGGCCTTTGTAACAAGAGCAGGTCACTCTAACTCTGTCGCAATAATTGGGCGTGTGTGTAACCTACCTAACACTGCACAGGTGTGCAATTAACGTCCATGTGGACCAGCATACGGAGTTTATATTTCCCAATTAGTACGGATTTTACGTTGAGACATTTCAAACTAACGGAGCGACTGATTCATCAAGGATACAGATACTCTGATTTGTGCAGGTCCTTTTATAAGTTTGCTAAAAAGCACGCACAAATTATGATTAAATATAGCTACGGCATACTCAAACATGTGGAGGATGGTATATGTCTGCCAGCAATGGATAGATTCCTCAGTCGCCATGTGTCGCATAGATAGAATGTATATTTATAGTCACATATTTATTTTGAATAATCTATTTTTAACATTTCTATTTCTACCATTTCTACTATTATTTATATTATTTATATTTTTCTTACACGTGTATATGCTGTGCGTTATTTAAAGTAATCGAAAGAACTATTAATCTTATTTTAGGAGTTCTATTTTTTCTATTTTTCTTACACGTGTATATGCTGTGAGTTATTTATAATAATCGCACGTTTTTTATGTCTCCGTCGTGTCGTCGTGCTGCGTGAGTTTCAGAGTTTTTATATTTTTCTATGAGTTTATTGGTCCTTTGAGGTTTTCTATTTTTCTACCGGCTGTTGTTTTTATCCTGTAGCTGTCGTTTTTTGTACATGATTTCTATCTATTTATTTTATAACTATGTGTAAGGGAGGTTGGGACACTGGGTGTGTAGGGAGAGTTGGGCCCATAAAAGACTCTTTAACCTACCGCCCCGGTTCTCAAGGCTGGGCACCCAGGGTCCTGCCTCTTTCTTTCTGTTTATATGTTATTGTCTGTGTTTCTGTACGCTTGGGTATGTTATTGTCTGTGTTTTGTGTGCTTGGGTGGGGGAGGTTCTTTCTTTTCCTCTGAGCTAGTATGCTATAAACATGTTTTTTCATGCAGTAAGTTTTAACAAAATTCGACGTTGGCCTGGAGAGTATTTACAAATCTGTAAGTCTTAACCAATCCAAGTGTTAATCGTAATCACCATGTGTGCGCGCGGAAAATCACGCGTTTTAGTAAGGATGCAAACGATCGCGGTAGCCACCAAGTACGTCAATTTCTACACTCAGCGAGACTTTAAAAGGGTCTACAGCTTGCAGAGGGGCTCAATTCTGCCGATGCAAGACGATCTAGCTTGTACCGAGGTACAACTATGGTAGAGCTGCGCAAATAAGAAGCCACTTTTTTGTGCGTAGGCGCGGACAGATCGCACGCAGAAAGTTCAGGAAGCTGTGAACAACCAAAGCTGGAGATCACTTCCACAGGTAAGCCAAGGAAAGCGATGTATGTGGACACGCCACAGGGTGTATATACATACATGCCTCCAGCGGGGAAGGGGGGCGGGTTTGCCTGGGTATATATACACTTCCCGCATTGAAACAGTTAAGACATACAAGTCTTATGCACCTTTTCTTTGAAATTCTGACTTGGCCAAGAAACTTGTACTTTGTCTTTTAAAGATATCTTACTTCCTTTACCTGCCTTTACATCACCACATCTGAGAGAGAGGTACACAAAATACACTTTGAGTATGCTACATACGTGCAATTAAGTGCAGTAGGAATGAAAGCACTGAAGTGCAAACCCTCGGCGCACTGTGACGCACACGCGTAATTAGTAAACGCATGCCCCGTACCACTAATTGATGGGCTGGGTTTAGTTTTAGCAGTTACTCGCGATCGTGGTCTCTTGCCAGCTCGCGCAGAGTCTGACGCGGGCTTACCACACTACTACATAGTACGCAAGATCTTCTGGTGCCTCCGAAGTACGCAGAGCACGCGGATCGATCCGACTGTGGTAAGCCATCCCGTCCGTTGTGTATTTGCATATTGGCTTTTTCGCGCTCTAGCTTTGCAACGGAGCAGTTTCAGAGAAAACCGTTCGAAATTTCTGACCTTCATTGCCCGTTAAGTAGGTCGTATCCTTGTGAGACGAACAAACACCCGAGAAGTGAGATTGAGAGTAACAGACAGACTGACACACAGACAGACAAACAAACCCAACTACAGTAACCCTCGCTGCGCATGCACGCCGAGGGTTAATTATTACTCTGCTCATTAGTATTTTAATAATGCAAAGCACTAAAGTGCAACCCTCGGCACACTGCGCATGTGCATGTGCAGTAGCACTAATGGACCAAGAGTAAGCGTTTACTTGTGGTCTCCCGCTAGTAGCTCGCAGAGAGTCTGACACGGGCTAGCTACGGTAGTAGATACATATCCTTAGTCGATGCACATCCTCAGTTGTGACTTCTGGTACCTACAAGGTACACAGAGAAAGCGGATCAGGTTGAGGTAAACCCAGTGCAATTTTGCATATTCGCCGTGTAGCTTGTGCTCACAGCATATCTCACGAACGCAATCATTTCAGGAAAATCGCCATTTTACTATTCAGGTTGGCGTATTTCTGAAGCTGTTGGTATCGCTCATGGGCTGCCTCATAGCCTGTAGTACCAGAATAAGTGTGAACAGACAAACAAACAGACAGATGGACAGAACGAGCACTGCAACCCTCGCTGCGCATCTGCGCCGAGGGTTAACTACACCTTACCCCTCTGTGTTTTCGGGGTTTTGATCAGAATAGATCCTCTCTGTTCTCCTCATCTTTTCAACCTCTACCTACAGCACATGACAAAAAATGTTCAATACTAGGAAATATATTCTTTTGGAACAGACAAAACGCAGAGAGAAGACTTAATAGTTCAAAAATGAGTGACACTAGCCTCCTCTTACATACATGTGAATATTATAAATTTGCCAACAGGTAATCTGCCCTCCATAATGATGGC